TTATACTTTACATAGGTTCTCAACTTGTAATGGTTCTTTATGATTAAATAAATAAACGACACCAACCAGATTGCGGGATTAAAAAAAAAAAAAAAAAAAAAAAAAAAGAGAATTACAATTTCAATTAGTAAATACTTTGGATATATAAGTTTAGTAAATTATAATAACAATAGAAAATGTTTACTTATTTGAATGGTATATATAAAGTCTTTAAAATTTATAGGTAAATTCAAAAGACAATAAACTTTAATATTTGTAATTTAAATATCAACAAAAGTTGAAACTTTATTAAGATCAAAAAAGCATTCTTTTATATATGTTGGCTTTATACAATGTAAAAATAAATAATAAATAAATATAAAAATACATATATCTATATTAAGCTATTCTTAAACATTATCTATTTCAATAAAAGTTAAATAACTTGATTGATTGCAGATAAAATAGGATTTTAAATTTTTTTAAAAAATAATTAACCTGTAAAATTTCATAAATAATTTCAAAACTTATTTTTAACTACAGTTAATAAGAATTATTTGATATTATTTAATAAACATATAATGCCAATCTGATTGTAAATAAATAAATAAATAAATATGAAAATATGACAAAACTTTAATTAATTTATTTTAATAATAATATATAATAATAAATTTTTACATATTAAAAAAAACATACTTAATTCAACAAATAAAAAAAATGATGACATTATATTGATTAATTTCAAAATTATATTTTATCTTCAAAATTCTATATTTTTTAATGTACAGTATACTATAGTTAAAATTTGATTGACGTTTAAAATTATTATTTAATCAAAGTTTTAATAATAATTTAAAAATTATTGATGTAAAAAAGTTTTAGACTACGGATTTATTTCTAATCTAATTTATTTACATCTACTTCGGAAATTCTCAATACCGTATACGTCTGTTTATGAAGGACGTGTTTCCTATGTCGATTCCTTCGTTTTTTTTTGATAATCTTGATTAAAGGTCCCTTTGGTTGTTCTATAACTGTGGCTTTAACACTATAGAATGTTTCGGAAACTAGAGGTTGTCCCTTGATAGTGTAATCCTTCGATCCTAATTCGAGAACACGATTTAATTTTAGCTCATCACCGACATTAACGTCCCGTAACCGATGAGTAATTACTAGATCATTCTTGGTAACTAGGAACTTTTGCGACCGGATTTCTACTACTGCGTAATAACGTAATTGTTCTCTTAGACGATTCACGGCCTCCTTCGTTCCATCAGAAAAGAGAATCGAAGTTTGCAATGTTGGTGTTGGAAACGTTGATCTGGCAAGAGGTTTAGCTTTTATTATTGTTTCCGGTTGTAATCTTGAAGTTTTAACTGTCCTGCACAACTTTGAATTTTGGATTACTTCCGTACCAGATGAATTTTGATGTTTAGACTCTACAAACAAAACCTAAGGACCAATAAGTAAGTAAAACCCGCAGAAATACCTGTTTACCTTTAGGTCTCTCCTTGTGCGAGATTCGAGCAATGGTTAAATTCATAAACGATCTAAACGGAACATAAGAGCTGCTTGCTCTATTGATAGTGATTTGAATCATGTTTGAATTCAAAGATTAAGAGTTCTGTAGATAATCTTGATAAATTACTGATACGTAATCATTGTTGTAAAATATAAATATTGTACGACATTGAAGATTCATTTTCCAAAAAATAACAGGAAAAAAACCCTATATAAAGGTATGAGGGGTAGTAAAAAGAAAGGTCAAAAAAAAGGCAAGAAACAAAAAAACCTAAAGAATAAAGCACATCAAAAGAAATCACAAAAGATGCCTGGAGATATTGATGGTTAGGATTGTTTCTCTATTTCTTTGTGTATGTTCGACTCGTCGTATTTAACCTTTCTCCACTACAATAAAGATACGGAGAATGGGTACCAAGAGGATGGTGAGATATGTCCTCACGTCAAGACTTCCGTAAAACCAAACAAACTTAAGAAGTCAGAATTTCAAAAGATTTTTAAGAGCATAGAATCCCAAACGTTCTCGGAAATACAATGTGAGGTACGTTGTTCAATTTAGATTATTCCATTTATTGGTTATTTTATCATAACGGCTTCACCCATTTGTAGACGTGCGCAGAGGAAAAGAAAAGTAAAGAGTCAGATTCGACGCTCGAGACGATTAATCCTCCGGATACTGAAACGACCGATTCTTCAGACACCGGAATAACGGATTCCTCAGGTGCCGATTCCACGGACGTCGGAAATATCGATTCCTCGAATGATGGAGCTTCCAGTTCAATTATTGAGTCAGGAGCTTTGGTGATCTACAACGGTAATCGCACTGATGAGGAAAACACACCAAGGATCTGGATTTGCATTCATTGTGCTAGAACGAGCTGTGGTCGTGATGACGAAGCACATGCGTTAAAGCACTATGAAGAAAACAAGAATCATGCGATTTCAATGGATTTAAAAGAATTTTCTTTTTGGTGTGTAACAAATTCAAATTTTTTTGATTATTTGAGCGCATGTAAATTTAATTAATCGTCTAATTTTTTCTAGGTGTTATGAATGCGATAAGGAGGTGATTGTTTCCACGGGCAAAAACCAAGTATTAGCTGATATACATTCACAATTTCGAAAGGCTTTTAAGAAGGAGGAGTTAAAAGGTTTGAATTTACTTCAAAGTTGATATTTTCTGAAAATGGTTTAATTTTAATATTAAAACTGATTTTATTTTGGTTTAGCATTTGACGAACAAACGAATAAAAAGGATTCAAGATCGCGAAATAGTTTCAATCAGATCAACCATACTCGCAATAAAATTCCAACGCCTGGTTTATCGAATCTCGGTAATACATGCTTTTTTAATTCGGTTATGCAGGTGAGAAAGAGATTTTGTACCAAGTTTAATTTTTCAATTTTGCTTACGTTTATTGATTTTTAGGTCGTTACTGTAACATCTGCACTTCGTGATGTTCTTCAACCTAATCGTCCTGGTCAGTCCGATCTTATTCCGCCATTAATAAATGCGAAGCAGTGTATCGCTGCTATTCGTGATGACGTTGGTCCATTAACCAATGCTTTCAAAGAATTCTTATCCGTGATGTGGGAAGGTGAAAGAGAGATAGTGAGTCCTAGAGACTTGTTCGACCAGATTACCAGAAAGTGGTCACAATTCCGCGGCTGGAGACAACAAGATAGCCAAGAACTCATGCGATTTTTATTTGACGGTATTAAGAGTGAAGAGCTTGAGGTAAGAGTATCCTGTCAAATAGTTCATTAGAATGCATAACAATTATATTTAAGAATTTATTCATTTGTTTAAATTACCGTAATAAATTCATAGATGTAAATTAGTGATACACCTTGACATTGTATTACCCCGTTCATATGAGCAGATTTTCAAATTATCATAACCATATGTTGTATTAGAAGAAATATACTAATATCTGCACTTTTTCGTTGCAGTTAATAAAAAGGGTGTCGAAAAAGAAGAATGAAGATCAACGTATGAGTTCATAATTGAATTTTCATATTTCCTTGGCAATATTTTACTTACACGACAATAATTCAACTTTTATTATTTATTTTCAAAAAAAATTGTTAGTGTCTGATCAAGGGACAGATGATGAGAACAACACCTCAGAAGAAAAACCACCACCACAAGAATTCGTGTCTTTTATCGATGCATGCTTTGGAGGTAAACTAGCCAGTGTAATTGTTTGTAAAACATGTAGAATGGTTAGTGCGAATTTTATTGATTATTATTTAAAGGTCTCTTTTTCTTGTTGTTTTTTATGCTTATTAAATGCGTTTCCCGCAGTGTTCTTACTCTTATGAAGAATTCTTGGATGTTTCCTTGCCGATAAAGTCTAATAACAATGAAGGAAGATTCAAGGTTGGGCTCATATTTTGTTTATTAATCGAGTCTCCGATGAATTAATAGTAATCTTATCGTTCAATGTGCAGAAGATGAAAAATTTTCTCACCGGATCAAACAACTCCACACAAAGTTTCTATAATAACTCAGAGGACTCCAACCAAAACGGCGATGACGAATCTAATAATTCGAATAAAGAAGCAAAACCCGAAGAGTATTCACCGCTTTTAAAGGAAATTCCCAATAGTTCTGATCGTTCCGCGCAAAATTCGTGTATATCTCTTATCGACTGCCTGAGGAGTTTCATGCGAGTAGAGACCTTGGACGGAGATAATCTTTTTGCGTGTGGAAATTGCTGGAAAAATTCAAATCACGAAGGTTCTGATGTAACCGATGAGAAAAGCGATGCGGAGGAAGATGACTCGATTGAACCGGACGTTCAAGTTGACAAGGCAATTGGAAAAGAATTGGAAAATACAGAATCACTGAAACAATCACCATCTACACCAATAAATACTTCAGAAGTGAATCATATGACGAATACTCAGCCCGAAAATGGTGCGTCAGAACCGATGGACGTTTCAGGAGATAATTCGACGACGGATGCTCAAATTTATGAGTCTTTCAGTAAACTTACTTCAGAAGACTCATCGGAACAGAACTCAGTGAATGTTCCAGAACCTTTTGTAACGGATACTGATTCTTATGAAAATCAAAATAATTCAAAATCAGAAGAATCATCGGAATTTACATCAATTAATTCTTCACAAGGACCTCATATAACAAGTACGAATGCGCCTGACGAAAATTCAAACGAGCCTATTTCGAGAGATGATTCAGAGGAAACTTGTGTATCAGGTGCGGATGCGCAATCTGACGAAAATCCCCAAAAATCTGTTTCCGAAGATTCAGAAGAAACTCGTATATCGGGTACGGATGCGCAATCTGACGGAATTTCAAACAATTCTATTTCGGAAGGAGCTCACGTAACAAGTACGGATGCCCAATCTGATGAAAATCAAAACCATTGTTCGAATGATCCATCGGATTATACACCAATTAATGGAAAAGACGGTGAGGTTGATTCGCGTGGTATGGAGGTCGATCTACCGGTTCACTCTTCGTCATCACGAAGCTCACCATTACATGATTCTGAGTCAGAAAAAAATAAGTCAACAAAGGCTCAACAGTTCATTCTCCGTGAGGCATACAAACGCTATTTGTTTAGTTCATTGCCGCCTGTCTTGGTCCTTCATTTAAAGCGTTTTCAACAGACAGGAAAGTGGTCAATTAGCATGAAAAAGATAGATGATTTTGTGGAATTTGATGAAGAAATAGATGTTGGTAATTTCATTGTACCGCCGGGAGCAGATGATATCGATGGATCCAAATCATCAAGAAAAAAGGTTTTTAATACAAAATATCGATTATACGGTGTTGTGGTACACATGGGAAGTCTATATAATGGACACTACATTGCGTATGTGCTTTCTAAAAACATTCTTGGAACGGGAGAACAATTTGGGGTGCCGGAATTGAATCCTGATGATTATGAAGAAGTTGAGAAAATTCATTCGAAGTCGGACATGGTAGGCGAACATAAACAGTGGATTTATTGTAGTGATAGTAATGTGCGGATGGCTAAAGTAGATGAAGTTTTAAGAAGTGAAGCTTATCTATTGTTTTATGAGCAAGTAAGATGAAAAAAGTTTTGTTTTACGCTCTCTTAATTACATTTAAAAATTAATGTTTTATAATGTAAAAATGTGAAATCTGTATTTTCTACAAACGAACCTATTTCGAATAGTTTAGCATTCAAAATTTTTTATAAATATATTTAAGAAATTTCTTTATTGTAGATAAAAAATTTACAAGAGTGCATAAAACGAAATAAATAAATGATCTCGTTAGAGTTTTACGCAATGGTCTTTCTTCATTTTCTTATTTTATCAATGATGAACAGTTTGATGTTTAAAACTACTGTTTTTAAACCGGCATCAAGTTATTACAGGTGCACCCAATTAAAACGACGTATCTATCAAAATTATCCCTGGCTCCGAAGAACGTCCTCGTGTGTTGTTTGGGTTGCGTGGTAAAAGCCGATGTGAAATTAAGCGTGGTCAAGGTTCTTATGTATGGTCTTCGTTATTGACTTCATAAATCGTATTCAATTATTTGTGTAGCCTGAATTACAACACAACAAAAGGTCAAGCTTTTGCATAAAGTATCTTATTCGAACACTAAATCCTTTTGTGATGTTTTTTACCTTTAAAATTTCGCAGGACGATAAACTCGCCTAGGTTTTTTGAGTGAACGACAGACGAACCAGGTGGCCCATCCAAGATAGTATAATAGGTCCTATTCTCAATTTATACCTCACCCAAGGTCAGGTATAGATTGAAAATTAATTCTGTCCCTTCACATTAATTAGCACATATGTACTACTATACTACCCGGATGAACCACCTGGTTCGTCTGGCGACATTTTCGAACGGTAAAGACTGAGCTTCATCACATACCATCATATTTAAAGATTTGATTTTTATTGTGGCACCCAATTGAAATCAACCAACTAATCGGTGTCACCCTGTTAAAAAAACAAAAATTATTTTGAAATAATATTGTTTAATTCTTAAAAATTTTTTTTTTTTGTAGATAAACATCATTTCTTTATTTGGTTTGTATATATCAAGGTATACATTGTGAAAGAAATAACATCTCTCATATGTAAGTACAATGAGTTAAATGCTAGTTTGCCTACAGTGACCATTTGACTAATATTGAAAAAAAAATTTAAAACAATATATCTTGTCAAATAATATTGAACAGCTATGAATATCTACTCAATATTAAGGAAAGGGGTGTTGGATAATAGTGATATTAATTTTTGAATGCATTTAGGATAATTATATTTATATTGGATAAACGTGTTAGTAACTATACTAAGTAGAACAATGATAATTTCTTCAAGAAAGGTAATGGATAATTGGACTTTGGTTTGTGAGTTGTGGTTATTGGTTGGTTCAAGAGAGTGGGGTGAAGTGAAAGGCTTATTAAGGTTCCATTTAATTTCAGTAAATAGTGACATATTGGTTATAGAGTAGCATGGTTTTCAAATAAGATTATATAACTGGGTTATAGCTTTGTTAGTTACTTTAATCTATTTGGTAACTTGCCATATATGTGAGATTGGTGTTTAATTACTGTTTGGATAAAAAATTTGATTAATATTTTTAATTATTTGGTTGGTTTCAATAGAGATCTCAGAATACTTGAAAATATAATGAATATCTTTAGTATGAAATTTATATCTTGGATATCAAACATTAGGGTACTGGTCAGGATATAGTTGGTAAAGAATTTTACAAGTAGATAAAGTACCTAAGAGTAGTTTAATTCTGAATACAATTATATTGTTATAGCTATTATTATGCAATTTCTTGATATTCTTGTTGGATTTGATAATGACTTTTAGGCTGTATGGAGTATGATCCCATCCAAAAGTTTGAGTGACAGAAGAATTTTTACAGATTATGTAGTTCTTAGTAATACTGAAAATTTTTTTGTACCATTTAATACTACTACCGAGACATGTGTTGTTAATTAATAGGTTTTCTGGAAAATATAATAAAGTGTTGTTTCATTAAATAGATTTGGTTGACACTGGTTTGGATTTAGGTTTGGTATATATTATCTGTATTGATTTTTGTTATATTTAAAGATTTATTTTTTGGATTAGTATTAAAAAGTTAATTTTTATTATTCTTCTAGAGTATTTGGGAACTGGTTGAAGAATCTTCTTGTTATTTCTAATTTCAATAATGTTGCAATACTGGTTCTATTGGATAATATCAAATATTGCAAGTAAAATATTGCCTAATGATAGGCAAGAATTAAGAAATTTAACTTTAATGTTATTTATAATTAGATTATTTTTGTAGAGCTGTATATGAATATGTTGCTATGGATCAAGATCTTGTGAAAGGATTTGAAAAAAAGGAATAGTAGAATACTAACTTCTTGTAAAATATATTGATTGTTCTATGGTGAGTTAGAGATTTCATCTATTATACTAAGTAGACAATACTTCTAATATTTGAATATGTTGATTTGAACCCTAATGTTGAAACCACTGAACTTGTGAACTCTATCCAACAGAATCCTTGGGAGGGTGAACTGGTTGAACAGCCTAAGTATCTAATTAGAGTGTTGCTAAAATCTACTGTAAAATATTTTTCCTTAAATAGTGTATTCTCTTGTATTGCTTGATATCTTTTATAAATTTTGACTATAATATTGGTATTATAAATAAACCAAAATATTGACTTGAGATTTGGTAATGAACCATGAGATTCTTTTATATTTCTAATGTTTATGAATATTTTGAACCAATTGAACTCTAGGCTAGAATAAATTATTCTTATATGGATGGCAAATTGTGGCCATATAAGTTTAGTAAAGCTTTGAAATTTTAATAATAGATGGACATTTGTCATACTTATTGTTGTTTTTTTGAGCTGAAACTAAAGAGTGGAGAATAAAAGACTGATCAAATTTTCAGTATTGTTGAAATAAAATAGACATTCTATAGGACAGATTTGAATTTTAAGGTCTTTAACCAATTTTGCTGCATAAAGAATTCAATTGTCTTGATTAAACTTCTCTAGATTGCAGATAAGACAAAACTATATTGCTTCTTTTGTTTAAATGAAGTGAATTTCTTGTAAAGTATATTTTCTAATGGCAGGAATAGAAAGTTTAGAAATTAGGTTACCTATTAGCATGGTTTTTTGTCTTTTCTCCAATACTATCAAATTGAGACCATCTTGGCTTGTCAAAATTGTATTGGAACATTTGAAGAAAATTCTATATACTGATTTGATTAGCTTGCTGATTTTCATCTAAAGAAGTTTGAGAGTTAACTTATTGAGAAAAGAAAAGAGTAGGAAGTACTTGAATTTTTCCATAACAATCCAATCATTAATTTGTTGCTTGATTTCTTTTTTTCACTTGCACTTGGAGAGTTTTTTAATGATTTGTGATACTGTTTAAATGAATGTTTTTCTGTTAGATTTATATGGATTTTTTGGTAAGATTAGGGTTTCAAGATTTTATATGGTTTAAGAATTTGAATTTAATTCTTTAAATATTTATTATATATAGTACATAATATAATTTTTCTAATATTTTTAATATTTACTCCAACTCCCAAAAATAGTAATAAATACAACAAATACACTTAATCTAAAATTTACAAATCAACTATTAAAATTCAATAGCACCATCAAACTTATATGGCATCAACTTGCCTTATATACAGGAATAATTTGTTTCAGCCCAGAATCAAAACCTTTACAAATGATAAGAATCTTGTAGGATTATATGATTTAATTCCAAATCTCAAAGCAATATTTTGATTCATATATGACTCGAATATAATAGTCAAGATCCATAAGAGACAATTACCTGTGCAAAAAGAAATGATATTTAAAGGAAAACACTTTACAATAAATTCGAATAACAATCTATTCAAGTGCTCAGAATGTCCAGCTGGCACACAATTCCATAGTTTATGCTGAATAATATTTACAAGCTAAACAGTATTGATACTATAGATATCTTTTAATCTATTTAACATTATCAAATATTGACTACTGAACATTATTGATGAAACTATTAAAAGTAAACAAACCCTCCAAATGGTTAATATTTATAACAGTTCATCCTTCTAAGCAACATTTCAAGAAGTGGAATATTATTAATACTATTATATTTAATCTTACAAAAGTTATTTAGTCATTAATGAATGCAAAGTGAAACTTATTAGTACCTGTTTAGCTCCTGACAACATCCTATTAACAATACCTGATATTATTTAGTGAAACTTTCAATACAATACTATTAAAATCAAAAACAACAAAAAAATTCTTTAATCAATATCAACTCATCTGAGAAAAATAGTCAAAATTAACTTTTTCTCCTTAATTTAAAAAATAAATCAAATCATAAAACAAAAATTAATAAAGACCTATGGGTTTATAGCACAATAATTGGTGTTTCACAAGTCAGATTATAAGATAATAGTTCAAATTCTTTAGAGGACTAATATAAAATTTCTGAAAAAAACCAAAGAAGAAAGAATCGATATCTTCTGATTGCTATTACAAGATACCAAGTTCAATTCCAGATAAAGACAATTGGACTATCTGAATATGATATCTGGACTATAACCTAGTATGCACTGTTTCTTATAAAAAACCAATTCATACATTAATTCAACAGGTATTAGAATTGTAATACCAAGAAAAGCATAGTAGTGTAATAATCATCTGACAGTATTACAATAATCATTATCAAGTTTGATACTTTCCTCATTTCTTATACATGAAGCACGCTTCCTTACCCTTTTAGTCTACAAGACTATAAAAGAAAAATCTGATTTTTCAAGAAACCTAGCTAGAGCTACAAAGACTCCTTGTCAAATATAACTAGTTCATAGCTACAGTAATTATATTAGGATACAGTTCTTCAAGTTTTTATTCATTGAATAGTGGGTGGGACTAGAAGACACATATTCTGATATATTAGCACTCTATCTATACAATCAGGATTCTGGTATTGGTAATATAAGAAAAATGGAGAGCAATAATATCTGGAAATTTTTTTGATGAAAATCTCCAAAAATCTCTATCCAAAAAAAATT